TGGAGAAATGAAATCTGATCTGTGATGCGACTGTTGTTCGGCACGCTGCATTGAGCAGCCGCGTTCAGTTTTTAATTGTAGTGTCTGTTCTTTTACTGAACTAAATGATTTTTATTACTATAAAAAATCAAAACGACGGTGGGGGTCGGTGACGAGGTGGGCAAGTGACGTAACCGGTGTTGCGGCTTAACACCGGTATAACCGTCAGCACCGTCTATCGCGGCAAGCCTAATTTGTTCATAAACACTGATTGATTCAGGAATGAAACGAGTGATCTTTATGAGTGAGTCATTGAATCATTTATTCAACCAATATGTTAACAAACACTGATTGGCCCTGTCCCAAATGGCATCCCAAATCCTCACGGTCTTCCTCTGAGTCCACACTTCCGTGACATAACGCTGCTTTGGATGTCAAGTAGAAATCTGTAACACCAATTTGACTGTCCACAGTAGTGTCTATTGACCACTGCAAGTCCACAAGACTGCAAGTGCACATGAAGTGTGCCATTTGTGACAGTCCCATTCATTCATGATTCAACACAAATGACAGTCCTTAAAGTCGTTGTATCTTTTGCTTAACTGATTTGTTCACAAACGATGAATCATTCATGATTCAAAGCAAATAACTGTCCTATGAGCCAGTCATTGAAATTATCCACTCAACTGATTCATGCACAAACACTGATTCATTCATGATTCAAAACAAGTCATTGAATCTTTTACTTTGATTCATAAAAAAATGAAAATGGCTTTGTTTGTGTCTGTTGTTTTTTTTATTTTGATGGATCATATTTGTCTCTAAATGTAAGCTACTCACTGTTAACTAATTTAAAGAATTTGACATGCTGAAAAATAAATGTAATATGACAAATTAGAAAAAAATGACCCCCTCAGCCTCTGTAGCGTAAAAAAACCTGGCAAGTCACTCCTCAGAGATCGTCTACTCATAATGCGTTTCCACTTTGCCTACCTAATGAGATTCCTCAGGAGTCGTCCCGAAGTACATGTGAGATTCCACACATATACTCTCATGTCATCAGATATGGAAGCAGGCATACTGTGTCAGGCACCTCCTCTCTGTCTCTTTCTCCTTGCCCCCTCCCTCACTTCTGCGTTCCATGGAGGATTCAGTGCTATTTCTGGGCCCTACTTTAGCTGAGTGTCTCAGAGTGCTTGAATGAAAAGCAGAAACAAGAAGGACTGAAGGAGAGAGAAAGGGAGGGTGGAATACATTACGTGATGCCCCATTTAGCCCACCAGAATTGTCGATAAGCTCTCTGCTGCCCGTAGAGGTTCATTCTTTCAGTTACGCAAACCCAAGATGTGAGTGTTTGTGTCAGCCATTCTGTAGGCATGCGTGTATTGACTTTCCAGTGTGTTAGTCTGTTAAAGGAATCATTTACAAAAATATTATAATTCTGTCATTATTTACTGGTCTCATAACACTTTTTATTTTTTAAAGATATATTTATGGGCTTTTATGCCTTTATTTGGAAAGGACAGTGTAGAGTAGACAGGAAAGCATTGGGTGAAGAGAGAGGGGAGCAGGATCGGAAAAGGACCATGAGCCGGGATTCGAACTCGGGTCGCCATAAGTGCAGTTGCGCTGTATGTCGGCGCACTAACCGCGAGTATTTATTAAATCCAAAAGTCTGATATTATTATTTAAAGGACTGGAGTAAACATGAACTAACAATGAACCAAGACTAACCTAGACCATGACTAACATTAACCAAGATTAATAAATACTGTAAAAATGTATTGCTCATTGTTATTTTAGTGCATTAACTAATGATAACTAATAAAAGTGTTATTTCTCATCCTTATTCCATTCCACTGGTTTTTAAGGAACACAAAAGGAGAATTTCAGAATACTATGTTTGTTGCTCTTTTCTATCCACTGTGAATGGAGAATGAAGCTTTCAAGCTTCAAAAAGTACATGAAAACATGGTCCATAGGACACTGTATTCGAAGTCTTCTGAAGCCATAGAATACTTTTGAAAGAGACCAAATTTTTGTTACAATTTTCATTTTTGGATGGTTAAGTCTTGAAGGTTTCTTCAGCACATTTAGTAAATGATGCATATATCCCCATCCCTTTCATCTGATATAATGTTCATATAATATGAATATAATGCATGCAGTGTAATACGATATGGAACTGATCTGTTGTGTTTTTATGTATTGATTTAATGCAGACTGGCAGATCGCCACATTGGCTTTGTTGTTGGGTGGAGTGTTCCTTATCCTCCTTTCCTTCCTGGTGGCCCTGGTGTCTGTCTGCATTCGCTCCAGGAGATGCTTCTACCGACCGGTCGCTGTTATGCTCTTTGCAGCAGGTGAAATAGACATAACCGTGCACACACACACACACCCTCACACATTACATTGAAGACATTAATGAGTTGGCTTCCCATTTCTGTTTTCCATGCTCATTAAATTAGGGTTCATGTATTATGAATCTAAAATGTGTTGTTGGCTCTAAGACACAACTGCTGCGGCTAATGGACCAGGAGACAGCAAAGGCATTATTTTTCCAAGCCACATCACACAGCTGCTTCAGTAATCAGTTGTTCTCAAAATGAACGCATCACAGGGAAAACGTGTAAGGTATATCTGAAACAGAAATTTTCGCATCTCTTTTGAGAGGATTTTTACATCGCTTTGAAGTCGCTCACTTTGTTGAGGAACTTATCAAGGAATAAAGCCCATTGAGGGTCCAGAAGACTTTTAATGTTCTTAACCTACTTTTGTCTCTTTGATGATTGCAAATTTCATTGCCAGCGCTCTTCTGTCTCTCACAGTGGTCCTACAGGCCTGCTGTTTGGTGCTGTATCCCATCAAGTTCATCGAAACCATCAGTTTGAGAATATACCACGAGTTTAACTGGGGCTACGGTCTGGCTTGGGGAGCCACCATCTTCTCCTTGGGTGGAGCGATTCTCTACTGCCTAAACCCCAAGAACTACGAAGATTACTACTAAACATGCTACAACACCCACAATGCACTTCAATGTCCTCTTCACTGTTGTGATAGCAGCTCATGCACTGAACGTTCGTTCGGAACTGACCCTTGACTTTGCAAACAGACCCTTGAAATGCAGGGCAGGGCCGAGCTGTTAGATACATAGATTTTGATTCTTTTCCCCTCAGATTACTCTATCACGCAATTAAACCCCACCATCAAACTCTCATTCTTTTTCTATGTCATCTCTCTCTCTCATGTCATTCTAACACCTCTGATCTTCTTCTGACTGTCAGATGAGCATCTGACTCAAGATGTCAGCCTATGTTCACAGGAATACTGCCAGTCTGTGATGTAATCAGTGGGGAAACCTCCATCTGTGGTGGGATCTGAAACAAGGCAGACAGAAGTCTACAATTCTGACAGAATAAAACTGTCATGATAGACGTGTTTTGAGACCTGAAAGATAGAGGGTTTAAAGCCAAAATTAATCTGTTTATAATGCACCCTTGAACATAAATAAAAAAATAAATCATGCAGCTTGAAATAAGAAAGTGTTATTGGTACAGTAAAGTACTAATCAGCCAAACTAAAGACATCTGTATAATTGTAAACTGGTCAAAAAGATCTTATGCTTAAGGTGCGGTCACGTTCGCGAGATTTTGCAGGCAAAAAAAGGTCCAATGTCAATCGCTTTAAAGGGGTGGTTCATTGCGATTTCACTTTTTTAACGTTAGTTAGTGTGTAATGTTGCTGTTTGAGCATAAACAATATCTGCAAAGTTACAAAGCTGAAAGTTCAATGCAAACGGAGATATCGTCTTTTAAAATTCTGGCAGTTTAAAGCCTACAAAAACGGCTGGGTTCGTGACATCACAAACGACACATGTTAGACTGCACCCCATAAAGACAATCAAGCCTAGAAAAAACCCAGTTAACCACCCCTGTAAGTCACTTTCAAACCAAGCAGCTTTCTGTTGATCAGCGTGGGGAATTTGCGCGACCGACTTGAATACGAGTGAAATCTGCCTCATGTAAAACTCTTGATCGCAGATTTCTATTGGAATGAATGGATTTCTCCACAAATTTTCACTGATCAACAGTAAATGTTAGTAATGGTAAAAAATAATTACATAACTTTAGAAGGTCCATAGTCTACTGTCAATAGTGTAGTGATGTATGAAGCACAACTCATTCAGAAATCACTTTTAAACCAAGCAACTTTATGTTGGCCAATGTGGCGAATTCACATGACCAGTTTGAAAAAGTTGCGAAATATTTCACTCTCACGTGAAATTCTCCTTTGCTTGGATTTCTACTGAAATTATCATTTTTAATTCGAAAACATTGTGTTGGTCAATGCGGCGAAATCACATGACCAATTTGAACCCATTGTAAAATTTCTCACTCCCGTGGAATTCCCCTTTGCGTGGATTCCAATTGAAATGACTGTATTTCGAATGCGAAAATTTGCCGAACGGTAAATGTGACCACACCTTTATCCATAGATGTGCATCCAGGCATAATTGCTCTCATAAAACGCTAAGAAAAACTGATGTTACTTTAAGCACAGATCATGTACATAGCACATGAATTGTCACCATACAGTTAATTTGTGCACATCTGGAAACATGCGCATATCTCTTATTCAGTTTAAAAGGGATTTGGTAGAAGATACTTTGCATTGTAGAAAACCTAGGTCTTGTGGTGTAACCAAGCCTTGCATGTAGACTAGTTTTTTGACTGGTATCTGAAGAGTGATTATTAGTCTTTTGCATAAGTATCCGAACAGGTAGTTAAAGGCAGACTGTAGGGTTGTTTTTTAGCACTGTCAGCCTGTTGTGTGCATGTTGGTGTGTCTGAATGAGGGCGCATGGATCGTTTGAGTGATTGCGTGCTTTCTGTTGGGACTTTTCTGTCCCGAATACAGTTGTGACATTGTACTAATTTATATACTAACCAAATAAACATAAAAAAGAACAATGTGGTATGCTCATGGTTTTGCATTCGAAAGATCTCAACATCAGCATATAGTCACATAGAATCAGATCCTTTATTAAGTACAGCAACTTGAGGCATTTGCACAGTAAATCAACATCTTAAACACAGAATACAGTGTGGCATATGCATAAAAGTACCAGGTATAGGTTCATATGCAGGTCTTGTAGTGTTCTTCATTCATGAAAGAACTCATAGTGAGCACATACAGTGTAAAGTCTACATTAAAATGATTCACCCCCCTGCTTATCTCAATACATTTATCATGTTGTGAGAGAAGCCCTGTATGCGGGATTGTTTGGGGCTTTTTCCGTGTAAACGCCGGCAGTCTTATTCTGCTTGGAATGGTAGCTTGGTAAACCACACCTCCTCAAGATCTGGAAGCTCCACCCTTTCCTAAAACCACGCCTTCTCAGTCCACTCCAGCGCCAATCAATCAATCCCTTGTTTCTGTTAAGTCACCCTACTTCCTCTTTTAAAGCATCTTTCAGTAGAAAAAAAAAAAAGTAAAAAGTAAATACAAGTGCAGGAAGCTCCTCAAGAGGTAACACAGGGTGCTTCTGATTGGATAATATTTTACTAGACTAGTTGTCTCTTCTTCTGTGGGGTACGGCTCAGTTATTGCTGGGTGAAGCTGAGGGCACAAGGGACAGAAATCGGCAAATGATAGGTGGGATTTGAACTTTGCATGATGGAACAGAAGATTAGTAGGAAGAGTGAGGTTCATGGCCTGTCGGGAAGGGTCGCGGTGAAGCCGGCTCAAGTGTTGCGTGGCATCTCGCACTGTTCGCAGCGGTGCAGCGCGGGGTGGTTAAGAAAAGTGCAGCTTTCACAGTTCCACTGAGCGCCTTCAAAATCCTCGTCCCTTTGTACGACCGGAGGCTTAACTAGATAGAAGAGACAAAACATTATGAAACAGCATACACACACTTATTTATTGCTGCTGTGAGCTAAATTTGAAGGCTTGAGGAAGATCTAGCGTTCTACCACACCTATTGCCAATTTGGGCCACTGGCCCCACATAACAACAAAAGAGCGATGAAAATAGAACCAGGGTGCAAGAAACACTATATCATAACAAGCAACCCAATACCCTCCACTCCACTGGTGTAGTCAGAAGTCAGGACAAATCTGACAGGATATTCAGAGAGCAAAGAGCTAATTTTAGCTCAATGGAGGTTAGTCTAGAAATTCCATGAGATTTTTTAATGAAAACCACATCTAGGTAAATTCTTGCATTGCAAAGGGACAAAACTTGTAACTTAAGGTTCAATTCGTTAACATTAATGTATCAAGTGTCCAATACTAAAAATGAATAATTTTTTACATAAATAGTAAATAGTGATGCACTGAAATTAACACTCTTCAGCCAAAAAACCCCCCAAAACAAACCAGAAAATAAATGTATTTAAGAATCAATTAATCAAAAATTATTTTTATGTGTGTGTGTGTGTATGCATGCAGCATGCATGTATGCAGTCTACGGTTAATGACTTCATTCAGGAATAATCTAAGAATAAACAAGACATACAATACTAATGTAGCAAGCATACAGCACATGCTGAATAAACAGTTTTTTTTTTTTTTTAAATAGGCATTGCATAATGAAGAACGTCCTTGTTGTCATCTAACAATTACTGTAATTATGACACGACATGAACACGGCATTCATCTGAAATGTTGAAAATGTATTAACATATGTAGAAATGAATAAATGCTTGACAAGTATTTTTCAGTTCGGGTTCATGATACCAAATGCATTAACTAATATTAACGAATTGAACCTTGTTGTAAAGAATTACCAAAACATAAAATGATGACATGTTTAAATAAAGCAACATTGTGACAGTTGACTAAATAAAATTAAAAAATTATTGAATTCCCACCTCTTGGAGGTACAGTGGGTACGGAAAGTATTCAGACCCCCTTAAATTTTTCACTAGGGCCAGGCTGAATATTATCATAAAAGTTGTTCATGGTTCTCACGTCAAACTTGCCTAAAAAATAAATAAACAACAAATAAGAGATGGATGAAGCAAATGATAGTCATAATTATCAATCTGTGCAATCACATGAAATAATGCTGTGCTATAGTCATAAAGATGACTACATTTGTGCTATTTTTACCTCTGGACTGCAGCAGGTCTGTCTCCTTCAAGGTGCAATCAATGTCAATCTGGAGCTGTCTGTTTTGCGACCGAATTCTGGTCATATCCTCTGGCTAGGAAATGTGCACACGCACACACACACACACATACACACAGAGTACATGACTTTTTCACATTAACCGCACACATAAAAGCAGTTTATTGCTGTTACTCTCTTCACAGTAGCTTGTTAAAGTCAGAGGAAAGAGATGACGGTTGCACTGGATGAGTACATTATGTACAGCAGTTTAACGTTTGAAAAGAGATTCATTCATAGTCTGTGAAGCATGCAGACTGAGCGAGAACCGAATGAACAGATGTGATTCATTTCCACCTTATTGTATTTGCAAGTTCTGCACGTAGATTCTAGGTATGTATGATTTTTTTTTTTTTTTTTTTTTACGTAAGGCTCATTTGGAGAAGTTGATGAGGATTCATTCATTCCCTTTATTAGTGATGTAAAACAAGTGGGTGGGTGTTCCGCACTCGTTCAAAAAGATTTTTAAAAAGCCGTTTTTTGTCTCTCTCTTACCCGAGGGATCAGGCTGGTGCTGTTCACCCGTCTGAAGCGTCTCTGCAGGGCGTCAAATTCCATTTCATTCACTTCCGCCTTCAACTGCTCCAGTTTCTGACGCTCCAGCATGAGTTCTTTCATCAGACGCTCCATCCGAGCACGCTGGTGCAGGAGCAGCGCTGAGGAGGAGCATTAGACACAAGTATACAAGACTGTACAACACTTCCCCACATACACCCAACCCTGATGCATACAAACACCATAAACAGATGCAAAGAAGTTGTATAACCAGCTTATTCTGGACAGGAAATGACCACTTTGACAGGAAAGAGTTATCTGATAAACCCAAGCAGTTTTTTTCATGAGTGATGTATAATTAAGGATACATATGCTTTACTGGATATTAACTGCCTAGAAAAAACCTATATATAGTATACTACATTACTAATCTGTGTATGTACACACTTTAAGCAGTTTTATAAAAAATACATAATAGTTTATAAAGCAAGGACTAGCTACTAGATTTTATAATATAATACATTTTAACATGGCTTTCTCAAGTTTCTCAGCATTCAATTAAAAATATGTGTTCCTTGACTCCTGGAAAAGTCCAGACATAAATAAGCCAGCCTGATCAAATAAATATTTTATTATATTTATTCACACATGCATACATACTAGGGCTGTGGGATATATCTAAACCGTATTTAAATATTTTTCTAAATTTTGATTATTTTATA